AGTTTGAACTCAAGGTCCTAAAGTAAGTACTCTACCACTTAAGCCACACTTTTGGCTCTTTTGCTCTAGTTAATTTTCATTTAGGGACTCAAACTTTTTGCCCAGCTGGCCTGAATTTAGTTTCTCCAACCTATATCTCTTGTCTAGATGGGACTACAAGTATGAACCACCACACCTGCCTTGTTTGTTTGGATATAGTTTTACTAGCTTTATACCCAGGCCTTGAATTCAATCTTCCTGATTTCTACTTCCCAAATAGTTGGGATTACTGTATCATACTTGCTTCTCAAAAGTTTTATAATTTATAAAGTGCTGTCAATGCAATGTCTCATTTCATTGTCTCAGCATCCCTGAGGGACACTCCCCATGTAACAAATGAACATGAAAGTCCAAGTTGTTAATTTATTCATACATAATACATATCCTGGGTTTTTGTTTTATTTTGTTTGCTTGTTTTGAAGTACTGGAGTTTGAACCCAGGCTCTTCTATAACAAATATTTTGTTATTTGCATTGGAAGCAGGCAATCCCTGCCCAGAAGGGGCTTTGGAATAAAGAACAAAACTTACAAATGTGAGACAGAAAACAAATTACATGGCAATGTGTCCAAAAATAGACCAGTACCAACTAGACAAGAATACTAAAAGAATTCAAGAGGAAAAGATTACTGCAAGTAGAATTAATTGGCAAAGGCATCATTTAGGGATAAACCTTAATCTGGGTCATAAAAGAAGTATAAAGATATGGATTAGCAGTGAAGAAAAGAACTACAGTAAAGAAGAGTAACATCAGCAAAAACAGGAACATCAAAACAACAAACACATTGACAGAGAAGGACAAGAGCTTGATGGGAGATGAATCAAAAATGATCAGACCCTGCCGGTCACTGGTGGCTCACACCTGTAATCCTAGCTACTCAGGAGGCTGAGGATAACGGTTCAAAGCCAGCCCAGGCAGGAAAGTCCGTGAGACTCTTATCTCCAATAAACCACTAGAAAACCAGAGTGGCACTGTGGCTCAAGCAGTAGAGTGCTTGCCTTGAGCTGAAGAGCTGAAGGATAGATAAGCTAGCGCCCAAACCCAAAGGTCAAGCCCCATGACCAACAAAAAAAAAAAAAGAAAGAAAGAAAAAAAGAAATGATTAGACCCATCCTTTTGGCTGTGCAAGAGAAGTTATCTGCTAAGAGGCAGTGAGTTCCAAATCACTGAATAGAAAATAGTCTGCTACCAAGTGCCCAAATTAAACAGTTATTTGCTTTCTTACCCAAATTAAACTAGGTGCCAGTGTCTCACACCTGTAATCCTAGCTATTCAGGAAGCTAAAATCTGAGGATTACAGTTTGAAGCCAACCTGGATAGAAAAGTTCATAAGATTCTTATGTCTACCCAAAAGCCAAAAGTAGAGGTATGGCTCAAGTGGCAGAGTGCCAGCCTTGAGTAGGAAAGCTATGGAAGAACAGTATCAATATGGGTACAAGTATCAATATGGGTACACACACACACAATACACAACACTGAAAAGCAATAAACAAGTTTCTGTGGACCCCAGGAAGGAAAAATAGGAAAAAAAGAACAAAAGAAGTGAAGTTCAAACTTGTGGGTGGGGGGAAGATTAAGGGCACGGTACTAAAATTAACCTCATTGCCCCCCCCCAGATCTGAAATAGGGAGATATCTGAACAGAATATATATATATATATATATATATATATATATATATTTATTTATTTATTTATTTATTTTTGGGTCCGGTCCTGGGGCCTGAACTCTGGGCCTGGGTGCTGTCTCTCAGCTCTTTAGCTCAAGGCTAGCGCTCTACCACTTGAGCCACGGTACCACTTCCGGCTTTTTTCTTTTTTTTTTTCTTTTTGCCGGTCGTGGGGCCTAAACTCTGGGCCTGGGCGCTGTCCCTCAGCTCTTCAGCTCAAGGCCAGCACTCTACTACTTGAACCACAGTACACTTCACACTTTTTCTGCTTATGTGGTGCTGAGGAATCAAACCCAGGGCCTCAATAATGCAAGGCAAGCACTCTACCACTGACCCACCTTCCCAGCCCTAAACTCTTTTTTATTATTCAAGACTCAGCAAAAACAAAACAAAATCATTCCAACAACAGTTCATTGTAAGTTAGGTGTTTGTGTGTGTGTTTTCCCCATCCCTCCTGTCCCTTGTTGTTGTTGTTTTTGGGACTTGAATTCAGGGCCTGAGCACTTCCTTGAGCTCTTTTTGCTCAAGGCTAGTGCTCTACCACTTAGAGCAATAGCACTACTTCACTTTTTCTGGAGATTAATTGGAGATAAGAATATCAGAATCTCCTACCTAGGCTGTCTCATCCTCCAGAGTAGCTAAGATTACAGGTGTGATCCATAGGTACCTGACTTGAATAAAATTTGATCTCTTTCAGTGACTAAGGGGAAAGATGGCAGGAACATTGTGGGGGGTGGGGGGAACATAGCATCTCAAAGTGTAAACTTCAAAAGCCAAATTAGTAGCTTGATATATGTTACAACTAACTCTAAACAAACCATCCCAGATTCCCCTGGGAGATCAAACAATGAGAAAAACATAAATCCATTGGCATTTGCCTCAGATAATATTCCAAATTCAGTTTCACATTTGGTCTCTTCAGTTTCACATTTGTTCTCTTCTTGTGAACAGGAAAGGACAAAAGAACTCTGATAATGAACCTACTATCAAACTTTAAAAAAAAAAGTGATGTATTAAAAAGCACCTATTTTAAGGCTGGGAAGGTGGCTCAGTGGTAGACTGCTTGCCTTACATGCATGGGGCCCTGGATTCAATTCCTCAGTACCACATAAGCAGGAAAAGCCGGAAGTTGGCACTGTGGCTCAAGTGGTAGAACACTAGCCTTGTGTTGAAGAGCTGAGAGACAGTGCCTACTACCCAGAGTTCAGGCCTCATGATGGAAAAAAACAAAACAAAACAAAACACTATTTTACCCTTGTGACAGCCTTATAGTGCCACCTGCAGTTTCTAGCTAAGACCACGTTAACCATATACCTCTTGGGAGCATAGAATCCATTGTTTAAAGACAAAAACAAAAAACTAAGAAAGTAAATTCAAGTCATGCATCCTCAAAACCCTCCTGGGATAAAGCAAATATAGCTTTAAGACATAGTGCCTAGGAAATGGTCTAAGAGCCTCTATTGGCTACTAGGTCAATGAGTCACATATAGCAAAGAAAAAAGAAAGAGAGGGAAAAAAGCTAATACATTCTAGGCTGCTTGATTTAAAGGATGATATATTGTACAGACCTTGAGAACTTAATAGCCCCACAGTACCTTGCTCTGTCTGAGAATTGCATTTCATTCTGGACACTACAATTTAAGAGCAATATTGACAAGAGCTGTAAAAATGGTCATACCCTTTGACCTAGTAATTTCACTCTTGGGAATTTATTCTAAGGAAATAATTCAAGAGAATAGATAAATTAGAGGCATGAAGATATTGGTGCAACATCCTTCAAAACACTAAGTATGTATGCATCTGCATATATAAAATAAATGTCTCTCAAAAAAAGAGGTTATTGCACAGCATTAAAATAGAATAGTGGGCCGGGAATGTGGCTTGATGGTAGAGTGTTTGTCTAGCATGCATGAAGCCCTGGGTTCGATTCCTCAGTACCATATAAATAGAAAAAGCCAGAAGTGATGCTGTGGCTCAAGTGGTAGAGTGATGCCTTGAGCAAAAGAAGCCCAGGGACAGTGCCCAAGCCCTGAGTTCAAGCCCCAGGACTGACAAAAATAAATAAATAAAATGTGAGGCCAGGCACTGGTGGCTCATGCCTATAATCCTAGATATCCTGTAATCCTAGTACTCCTCCGGAGATCTCAGGATTGTGGTTCAAAGCCAACTTGAGTAAGAAAGTTCATGAGGCCCTTATCGCCAATTAACCACCAGAAAATATGAAATGGAGCAGTGGCTCAAAGTGGTAGAGCTCTAACTTTTAACAAGCTCAGTGAGGGGCTGGGTAGGTGGCTCAGTGGTAGAGCGCTTGCCTTGCATGCTTGAGGCCCTGGGTTCGATTCCTCAGCACCACATAAGCAAAAAAGAAAAAAAAGCCGGAAGTGGCACTGTGACTCAAGTGGTAGAGAGCTAGCCTTGAGCTGAAGAGCTGAGGGACAGCGCCCAGGCCCAGAGTTCAGGCCCCACGACCAGACCCCCCCCAAAAAAAGCTCAGTGACAGTTCCAGGTCCTAAGTTCAAGCTCCATGACTGACTATATACAGTTATATGGATAGATAGACAGACAGACAGGCTTATACCTATAATCTTAACTACTAGAGGGATGAGATCTAGGGATCACAGTTCAAAGCCAGCCCAGGCAGGAAAGTCTGTGAGATTCTGTGTGTGAGTGTGTGTGTGTGTGCGCGCGCGCGCACGTGCGCACTGGTCTTGGCCCTTAAACTCAGGGCCTAGACTCTGTCGAGTTTTTATGCTCAAGGCTAGTGCTCTACCACTTGAACCACAGCTCCACTTCTGGATTTTGTGGTGATTAATTGGAGAGAAGAATCTCATGGACTTTCCTGCATGGGCTAGCTTTGAACCATGATCCTCAGATCTCAGCCTCCTGAATTAATAAGATGACAGGCCTGAGCTGCCAATCTCTGGCTGAAAGCATTTATTTATTTGTTTATTTATTTATTCTCTTTTATTTTTGCCAGTACTGGGGCTTGGGCTCAGATCTTTGATCTTGCTTGGCCTGCTTGCTCATAGCTAACACTCTACTACTTGAGCTATACCTTCAATCCAGTTTTTTGCTTAATTGGAGGTAGAAGCAAGTAGATTTTCTTTCTTTGACTAGCTTTGAACTTTGATCCTCCAGATCTCAACATCCTTAGTAGCTAGGAATACAAGTTTGAGCCATCTATTCCCAATTTATTGTTATCTTTTATAGAATGAAATATGCTTCCCAGCTACCAAAAAGAGTCAAATAACCTTCTTCTATCACAATGCAGTGAACCAGAGGTGGGACAAGGTCTATAGTTTCAAAGTTATTTTATTTGTTTTTATAATATGCCTTTAATTTTCTATTTTTAAGAAAATATGATCAAGAATACAATAACTAAGGGTCTGGGGGTTTAGCTCAGTGGAAGGGCTCCCGCTTGGCGAGCACAAGGCCCTGGGTTTGGTCCTCAGCCCTGGGGGGAAAAAAAAAAGAATACAATAACTAAGACTTTTTAAAAAGTTCAGAATGCAAGTATACTTTCTTTTCCTTTATTTCTTTCTTTTTTCTTCTTGCTGGTCCTGGGGCTTGAACTCAGGGTCTTGGCGCTGTCCCTGAGCTTTTTTTACTCAGAGCTAGTCTCCTCTACTACTTGAGTCACGATTACTTCTAGCTTTTTTTTTTTTTTTTTTGTCGTGGAGCCTGAACTGTGGGTCTGGTAGCTAATCCGTGAGCTCTTCAGTTCAAGGCTAGTGCTCTACCACTTGAGCCACAGCATCACTTTAGGCTTTTTCTGCATATGTGGTACTGAGGAAATGAACCCAGGGCCTCATGCATGCAAGGCAAGCACTCTACCACTGAGCCACCTTCCCAGCCCTTCTTCTAGCTTTTTATGGGAATAATTAATTAGAAATAAGAGTCTCATGGACTTTGAACTCTGAGTCTGGCTTTGAACTGTGATCCTCGGATTTCAGCCTTCTGAATAGTTAGGATTACAGACATGAGCCACCAACACCTAACCTTTCAAGTACATTTTCATTTCATTTTTTTCTTTTTCCTTTTTTTTTGGGGGGGGCAGTCCTGGGGCTTGAACTCAGGGCCTGGTCACTGTCCCTGAGCTTCTTTTGCTCAAGGCTAGCACTCTACTACTTGATTCACAGCGCCATATCTGGCTTTTTCTGTTTCTGTGGAACTAAGGAATCGAACCCAGGGTTTCATGCATGCTAGGCAAGCACTCTACCACTAAGCCACATTCCCAGCCTACAAGTAAATTTTCTATCACTATCTTTCTCACTCTGTAAAGCTTTTCCTCATTTCTACTGAAAGCAGTTTCTTTAACATTGGTAGAATGTCCTATATGTACAAAGCCAGACTTGAGATACATTGCCTGGATCTGCTAGAAGTCCATCCTCTGAGGGAAGATTTTTCCTCACTTCCTGGGTCCCCTGGATTTCCTGGGCTGATTCAGGATTTCATACGCAGCCTGGATCTCCAGAAAGTGCCTCTGGGCCTCATCCTTCTGGTGCTGATTGTGGTCAGGGTGCCAGACTTTTACTAGCTCCCTGTAACTCCGATGTATTTCTTCATTTGTTGCCCCTTCTGAAAGGCCCAAAACCTTAGGGAAACGGAAGTTGACAAATCAGAATATGTCATATTTTTTTTAGAGTAACTAGGTCTCTCTCTCTCTGGTCCTTTGATAAATCAACCTAATGGTATCTCTTGAACAACCTAGAATCTCAGATTTGAAAAATGCCAATCCAGGAGTGGTGGTTCATACCTGTAATCACAGTCCTTGCTTGAAATTGTAACACTAGGGAAGCTAAAGGAGAAAGATCTTGAGTTTCAGCCTAGCCTAGGCTTATCTAGTAAGATCATATCTCAAACAAAGATGTCAGATACAAAAGAATACACAGTTAAGAATTCCATTTAGGGCTGTGAAGGTGGTTTAGTGGTAGAGTGCTTGCCTGGAATGCATGAGACCCTAGGTTTGATTCCTCAGCACCACATAAACAGAAAAGGCTGGACGTGGCAATGTGGCTCAAGGGGCAGAACCTTGAGCTGAAGAACTCAGGGACAGGGCCCAGGCCCAGAGCTCAAGCCCCATGACTGACCAAAAAAAAAAAAAAAAAGAATTCCATTTATTTGATGTTAAAGAATGGACAGCTGGGCACTGGTGGCTCACACCTGTAATCCTAGCTACTCAGGAGGCTGAGATCTGAGGATCGCGGTTCAAAGCCAGCCCGGGCAGGAAAGTCTATTTTTTTTTTATTTCCAGTCGTGAGGCCTGAACTCTGGGCCTGGGCATTGTCCCTCAGCTCTTCAGCTCAAGGCTAGCGCTCTACCACTTGAGCCACAGTGCCACTTCCGGCTTTTTGCTTATGTGGTGCTGAGAATCGAACCCAGGGCCTCATGCATGCAAGGCAAGCGCTCTACCACTGAGCCACCTTCCCAGCCCACTGGGCAGGAAAGTCTATGAGACCAATAAACCACTAGAAAACCGGAAGTGGCAGAGTGCTCACCTTGAGCTGAAGAGCGCAAGGACAGCGCCCAAGCCCAGAGTTCAAGCCCCACAACCAACCAAAAAAAAAAGAATAGACAAAAATAGCACATACACACACACACACACATATACACACAAAAAAGAATGATTAAAAATTTATTAGGGAACAGGGCATTGGTAGCTCATGCCTGTAGTCTTAGCTACTCAGGAAGTTGAGATCTGATGATCACAGTTCAAAGCCAGTCCAGGCAGGAAAGTCCATGAGCCTCTTTATCTCCAATTAACCACCAGAAAACTGGAAGTGGTGCTGTGTCTCAAAGTGGTAGAGTGCTAGCCTTGAACAAAAAAGCTTAGGGACAGTGGCAAGGCCTTGAGTTCAAGCTGCATAACCAACAAAAACAACAAAACAACACCAAGAAAAAAAAAAAAAAAACTTGTTAAGAAGCTGGGCACCCGTGGCTCACACTTGTATGCCTAGCTACTCAGAAATCAAAGCCAGGGGCTGGGAAGGTGGCTCAGTGGTAGAGTGCTTGCCTTGCATGCCTGAGGCCCTGGGTTCGATTCCTCAGCACCACATAAGCAGAAAAAGCCAGAAGTGGCGCCTTCAGCTCAAGAGCTCATGGATAGCGCCCAGGCCCAGAGTTCAGGCCCCACGACAGGCAAAAAAAAAAAAAAAAAGAAAGAAAGAAAAGAAAAGAAATCAAAGCCAGCTCAGGCAAGAAAAATTCTGTGAGACTCTTATCTCCAACTAACCAGCAAAATGAGTGGAGCTGTGGCTCAAGTGATAAGAGTTCCAGCCTTGAGCAAAAATAGCTAAGGTACAATGTTCTGACCCTGAGTTCAAGCCCCAGCACAGCACCAATTTTTTTTTGTTAGGGCTAGGGATGTAGCTCAGTACAGTGCTCACCTAGCATGCATGTGAAACCTTGGATTTGATCCCTCATCCCCAAGGAGGAAAAGAAAGAGAGGCTGGGGCCAGTGGCTCACACCGGTACTCCAGGCTACTCAGGAAGCTGCGATCTGGAAATCGTGGTTTGAAACTAGCCTGAACAGAAAAATCCTTGAAGCTTTATCTCCAATTAGCCAGCAAAATGCTATGCTAGAGGAGTGGCTCAAGTGGAAAACTGCCATTTGTGAGCAAGAAAGTTCAAGCCTTAGTAGCTGCATCACAAAGAAAGGAGAAAAAAACTATGGTATGCAGAAAGCTTTTTGGTGGTTCCATGCCTTGATTTGCATTGTATATGCATAAAATAGTTTATTTTATATATGTTATACCTCAATAAAAGAAACTAACATAGACATAGATTTCTCCAACTGTGTGCCCAAAGAAACCTTTGAAAATACTTGGGGAAGGGGGGTGGTAGTGGAGACACTAGTTCTGACACCAGTTCTAACAGACCTCAGACAAGACAACCACTTGGCCCAGAGAAGAAAGCAAGCCTTACCTGGTAAGCCAGCTGCCGCTTCTCATCCTGAAAACTGTGAACAAACTCATGGAGCCTCTCCCACTCCTGGAAGTAGCTACTATTGAAGCCAAGATCTCCTACTAATAGCCACCAGATCCGGTAAGGCAGAAGGAGTATAGTCTCCAGGAGTCGGCCAAGAAGGGGGAAAAAGCTGAACCAGCTCAAGAAAGTGCCAAGAGTTTCTGCTACATAGCTGAAAGTGGCAGCTGTGTTGTACAGGGCACTATATGCCAGGGGTCCAGTGAAAGCGAGGTAAGCTAAGCCTAGCCGGTAGAGCCGCACACTAAGCGTCTCTGATGCCACTGAAGCTTTGTAGCGGCGATGCTTCTGGGCTGTGATACTGGCAGCCACGCTGATGGGTAGAATGGCTATGGGACGGCCATAGAAAATAGGGGAAGTAAGGAATGCTACCCCTAGAGTATTCTTAAAGTTGGAGGTCTGGTTGCCAACAGCAGACACCAGCAAGACTCCTAAGCCAATTGCCAGTGGGAGACCGACAATGTAGAAGTTGGCCATGGAAGAGAGACTAATCAGAGCCACAAGGCCAAAATAGATGCCCACTATTATCTGGGCAGTAAAGCGAATAAGACTGAGGGGAGGTGTCCCCTTTCCTGGGCTCTGCTTCTGCCCCTGGAGTTTGTTGGCTTGAGCTACGTAGCTTGGAAGCTTCCAGAATTCCCATAGCCAACCCAATCCACCACCCCCCAGAGTAAGCATCCAGAGTAGGGCATGGCTGTCCCTTCCCAGGTATAGATGGTGTAGCCCAGCAGGACCCCCAACAGCCCAGAGGACATAGGTAATCAGAAGTCCCTTGGCCATCCTCTAGGGTAAGGGTCTCAGAACAAATCCAGCGGCACCTGACATTGCTTAGACTGCAGAAACTTCAGGGTCCTCTGTGAGAATCAAGACCACCATAGCCCCAGGATTTATCCTTAGATCCTAAGAGAATGGGAGAAAAAAAAAAAGCAGAATCATAAGACTATTACCAGGTCCCAACACAGCAACCGATCCCCCTTCCAGTAAAAGTCATGTCCAGATATACCACCATATCTGTGGAGTGCAAGGGTTTCATTCTTTTTCTAGTACCTCAATTCTATTCTTTACAACCACAGTGACTCCAAATTTAGGAGAGGAAATTGCAGAACTCAGTGCAGGGATAAAAAAAAAAAAAATCAGGTCCAAAAAGAAATGTACTCTGTACCTGACTTATGTGACTGTAACCCCTTTGTACATCACTTTTATAATAATAAAATTTAAAAAAAATCAGAAGCAGCCAGGCACCAGTGGCTCACACCTATAATCCTAGCTACTAAGGAGGCTGAGATCTGAGGATCACTGTTGAAAGCCAGCCTGGGCAGGAAAGTCCATGAAACTCTTCTTTTTTTTTGGGGGGGGTCCGGTCGTGGGGCCTGAATTCTGGGCTTGGGCACCGTCCCTCAGCTCTTCAGATCAAGGCTAGCGCTCTACCATTTGAGCCATAGCGCCACTTCCAGCTTTTTTTTTTTTGCTTATGTGGTGCTGGGGAATGGAACCCAGGGCCTCATGTATGCAAGGCAAGTGCTCTACCACTGAGCCTCTTTCCCAGCCCATCCATGAGACTCTGATCTCCAATAAACCATCAAAAAATTGGAAGTGGCGCTGTGGCTTAAGTGGTAGACATTAGCTTTGAGCTGAAGAGCTGAGGGAGAGCGCCCAGGCCCAGAGTTCAAGCCTCCTGACTGACAGAAAAAAATAAACAGAAGCTTACTTTTCAGACCTTTCTGCAAACCACTAGTAAGGAAATATCTCATGGGTAGGAGAGGGGAGGAAAAGGGTTAGGTAGGATGCTTTCCCAAACCCATACCTTTCCTTCCCCCTTAAAGTTGTCTATGACTCTTCTCAGTCACCTGGCTAAGGTTTTAACCGCTCTCCAGCTTTCTCTTCTCTCCAGTCCATGTTAATTTCCCACAAGTTAAGCTTAGAAGGCATCCTGACTTCTTTTTCTTTGGGGGGGTCTGGTCATGGGGCCTGAACTCTGGGCCTGGGCACTGTCCCTCAGCTCTTCAGCTCAAGGCTAGAGGTCTACCACTTAAGCCACAGCGCCACTTCCGGCTTTTTTTCCTTTTTGCTTATGTGGTGCTGAGGAATCGAACCCAGGGCCTCTGGCATGCAAGGCAAGTGCTCTACCACTGAGCCACCTTCCCAGCCCCCATCCTGACTTCTTATCCATTAAACATTTTGGAAAATGTTTTATCTAGTCCTTGGCACCCCACAACTCAGCCACCTCCTCTGAGACAGGCTTCTCCAAAGAAACTGGACAAATCCCCAGAATATCAAACTAGATGCCAAAGCTTGCTGGCCTGACAATCTGTCTCCTCTAGATCCATGGGGCCTCCTTCCCCGCCAATCCCAAGTGGAACAATACCTGGCTGTCCAGGCTCTCAGCACACGGCAATCCAGTCATTTCCTTTGACCAGAGAGTCAAAATGGCCCCTCTCATTCGGCTCCCACTTCCATCCAAGTGGACTTTGCCTCTGTGTCTGCTGTGTCACGGAAGTCAGGCCTCTCCCCAAAGCCAGCCCCTTTGGGGGGGTCACCTTTACAGCACACACTCTTCTGGCCTGCCCTTTCGGATAAACTGAATGGAAAGCTTCGGACAGCGCACCTGCACTTTGCAGGGGCTGGAATCTCCCCTGTCCCACCCCAGCCAGAAAACGCCTCTGGCAGTGCAGCACTGCAACCGCCAGGTGGCACTGCCGTTTACAGAAGAGAGCTGGAGAGGGTCGTCTGAAGGCCGGGGCACACTAGCTCAGAATAGTCCCTACCGAGGTCCTGCTCCCCCGCTGTCGTATCTGTACCGCGAAGAAGAGGAGAAAAAGAAGAAGAAAAAGGACAAAGAAGAGGAGGAAGAGGAGGAGGACGAGGACGAGGACGAGGAGGACGAGGAAAGAAGGAGGAAGGAAGGAGGAGGAAGAAGGAGGAGGAAGGGAGGAGGATGAGGAGGAGGAAGAGGAAGAAAACAGGCCAATGGTTGCTTCTTCTCACCGCCACATACTGGACCTCAGCACCACAGGCTGCGCTCTTCCTGCTGCGTTGCCCTCCAAGAATGCCTTGGTTGGTGGTTGGTTATAGTTCCCATTCCTCTAAATCATAGAAACCCACTGACAGTCTGCACACACGCACACGCGCACACACGCACATCACTACCACACCACACCTCTGAGTTCCCACCACACCTCTACCCTTCCAGTGGATACTGGAAACCCTGAGGCTGCTCTATCCCATAAGCTAAAGGTGAAGGAGAAACAAGACTAATTAAAATAAGAACAGAGGATGGGAGCGCCCCACTACGGAGAGTAAGGTGTCAAGGAGACCGCAATCGTCCTCCCTCCAGCCTGAGTGCTAGTAGAAAGGAGCAGGGGGTGCAAGATGCCTTAGTCTCCACGTTCCTTGCTCCACTCCTGGGTTTCAGCTCTATGACCTTGGCCAAGTCACACCGCTTCTTGGGCTTCGCTTTTTTCTTTGTAAAGGAGAGGGGCTTGGATCTCCCAAATCTCCCCCTCCACTTTTGACTTAAGGGAGTTCTTGGGTTCTCTCCAAATTCCTTGCCCCTTAGTGCACCCCCTTTGCGGAGGTGAGGAGGGGGCTGGAAGGGGGAAATGCCGCACCCCCTCCCCATGGAGGCCCCTTCGGGGTTGATGAGGGGCCTGGACAGGGAGGGACAGAGACGCAACTTCTCAGTGGCGGGCTGGGGGCGGGGGAAGACGGGGCACTGAATAATGAATGAGACTTAATTGGGCCCGCACTGCGCGCCGGCTCGCTAAGCTTGGCAAACAGTGCGGGCAGCGGCGGCAGCCACTGGACAAACAAACTAGCTCTGGGTGCGGGGAGCGGAAGGGAGGAGGAGAGGAGGAAGACTCCGAGGCAGCTGGAGGGTCCGGGGGTAGGAGGTGTGTGGGGGGGGGGAAGGTGCGCAGCTCGCCCCAGCTGGGCGGTTCAAGGCACCCGGAGAGTGTGAGGCTATGCTGGCTTCCAGAAAGAGCTGGGAGGGGAGGGAACGGGGCTCGCAGCTCCTCTCCAGAAGCGATAACTGGGGAGGGAAAAGAAGCGGATTGTGCGGGAGAGCCTGGGGCCCAAGGGCAATGTAAGCGCAAGGAAGAAAAAAAGATGGAGAAAGGAGTGGAGGGCGGAGGAGAGAGGGAGAAGTGAGCGAGAGGAAATTTAAAACACACACACACACACACACACACACACACAACGAAGCGCACCGAGGGAGTGGGAGTGGGGAGGAAAGCGGTTACGGAGAGGAAAAGGGAAGAGCGATGGAGGAACAAGCGAAGGGAGGTGCGGGCAGCTGAGGGAAGAGGAATTGGAGAAGAGTCAGGGAGAGACGAGGGAGGTGATCAGAATGAAAACAAGGTTTGGGGGGTGGGGGCGGTGGCCCAGACCGGCGCGCGGCGCCCCAGCCTGCGCCTCGCCCCGCCGGCGCTCCCGCCCTAAGCGCTCTCTCCAGTCGCCCGCACTCACTTTGTCACAATTACGGGGCCGTCACTCGGCCGGGATTGTTTTCCCCAAATTGTTGTTCTATAAACTGGCGCAGAGTGGGGAGGTGGGGGATCTGACAAGCTGGAGCAGCAGCCCAGGAAGCCTGGTGGCCTGGGTTTGGGCCCGGTGAATCAGAGCTCCGGCTGGGAATTCTAGATGGTACCGTCAGCCTCTTCACCGAGGCTGCTTTCACCCTCCAGGCCCATCTTGGCAGTGGCTACCTCGGTTTCCCCAGCCGAGCATTGGAAGGAACATTTGGAGTTGGGAGGCCAAGGAGCAGCCCGAACTGCCCTAACCACTCCATTTTTCTTTCTTTCTTTCTTCACTACCCAGATGTGCCTGCTCACCTTCCCAAGCAGCTTGGTCACCCTCGGGTCCCCTACTAGGTCTAGATGACCTTCCACCGAGCCCACTCTCTCTCGCCTCCCCCCCTCCACGGTGTCCCAGGCCACCTTGCTGTCCTACGATTCCGCAAACATCTGTTGCGCGCCCACTGAGCGCCAGAACTGCGTCCGCCACCCTCCCTTCCTTCCCCACCCCCTTCCCCTCCCCGGCTCACCCTCCTCCACCCGCCCGCCGGGCCTGTCGGCTCCGTGACAGCCGCCGCCGAAGCCCAAGCCCCGCGGGAGCGGCCGGAGAGGAGCCGCCGCATGGCTGGCTCTGACACCGGCCCTCCCGGGCGGCTCCAAAAGCAACAGAGGGTGGCGGCCGCTGAAGCGAGACCAGAGCAGGCCGAGAGAGTTGGCAGGGCTAGACGGGGGAGGGAACAGGCCCTGGGTGGGCTTCTCTCCGGTCCTCCAAATCCTGTGGTTCTCTTTCGGTCGTCCTCAGGTCTCGCCCGGGGCCCCGACCCTGCCTTGGCTCCCGCGTGCCCGGGACGCAGTAGGCTTCCCGGCTCCCCTTCCCCCCAGCCCCGGTGATTTACACGCGGTCTCTGAGCAGCGGCCGCTTCCCAATCAGGAATATCGACCCCGGGCGGGGCCCTCGGGCCGCATCGATCCCTCTAAGGCTCGGGATTTAAAAATGTCAAATTTGCCTTTTCCAGGCGGGTGGAGGGGAGCAGGGGCCAGGAGGAGGGCCTTTTGGAGGAGGAACGGACAGCAGGGCATCGACCTAGTGCTTGTGTCCAGAATGAGAAGTGACCCTGCTCGCCCCAGCCCTAACATAACCTGGCCTTCGTTGGATAATCAGTTGCCTCTGAATATGAAGAAGGAAGTCCTGCTCTCCCCCCAAGCCATCCCCACCAGGCCTCCCCATTGAAATGGAGTATTTCTAGAGGGCAGAACCCAAGAGGGACAAAGACCTTTCCCAAAATTTAGGGAGGCAAAATTGGAAGAGATCTGTAAAGGTGGAAATACGCAGATACAAAGATAGGGGCAGAGACAAAGATATACAGGCTCCAAGGAGAGCCTAGCCTGGCTGAATAAAACAGGGGGCCAGAGGCCCCAAAGCACCTCAACTCTCTGCTCTGCTGGCACACATTCTACACAGTATAACAACCGGGGAGGCAGCCAGGCTCAACTTCTTCTCGGTTTGGGAATGGGGAAGGAGAGTAGAGACAAAGCTAGGGGAAGAGACCGGTATTTTAGAAAGAAAGGAGAATTAATAGTATAATCAGCATTATCCCTCCAAGTTGTCAAGTAATAACCAACTATACCTGAAATTCAAAAGGTTGCTGAGTGCTGGTGGCTCATGCCTGTTAGACTGGCTACTAAGAAGGCTGAGATCTGAGGATCGTGGTTTAAAGCCAGCCTGGGCAGAAAAGTCTGAGAGATTCTTATCTCCAATTAATCACCAGAAAACCACCAGAAGTGGAGTGGTAGCTCAGAGTGGTAGAGCACTAGCTTTAGCAAAAGCATTCAGGACCCCCCCCCCAAATTAAGGTACCAGTAGCCAGGTCTTCAAGAGGTGTCTACCTTTGGGAAATGAGGTGTGTCCCCTTTACTTCTTAAGCTTTAATATAGGTATCTGGTGTCTTTTCATCATCCTTCTCTCAGAACATCAGCAGCCGAAGAAGACCAATTGGAGATCACATTTTGTATTGGGCACTATATATATATATATATATATATATATATATATATACACACACACACACACACACACATATACATATACAGAGAGTTACGGGCTGTGAAGAATGCTAGCAGTAATCACTCTCTTCTCTAGGATTCACATCTAGGTTGTCAGGCTTTGGAAAAGAAAAAAAATCCATTACTTGTAATGCTTTGGGAAGGGCTGTTTGTGATGAGGTGGTAAAAGAGAGTTGTCCTGACCAGCACTCTCACAGTTAACATATATCACACACCCCTCAGCAACACACCTCAGCTGTCACCAAGCTAGTGCACTGCCATTTCCTCCAGAACTGCAGACAGAACTGACAGCAAGGGGGGGGGGAGAGGCACACACAGGGCTCATCCTCAGACACAGGAAGCTCACACCTCCACTGACAAAATCAGGCCCACACGTCTCTGGCATTGACACATACAGTCACTGATCCTGACGGCCTCTACACTTGTCAATCCCTGCCATACACACCATCTCTGAGCAATCTCACACAATCCCTCGGGGGCTATCCACACCCTTTCTTAACATCTCAGACCTTAAATGCCTAACCCAAGGATAGACTCTATGTCCACCACTCCTCCACCCGCTCCTCCACCTTCCTTAATTCTACAATCAGAGCCAGGGCCAACAACTGGGAGGGTGAGTTCAAGGAAGTCAAGTACCAAGGTCTAGGTGATGAACCATGAGCAAATAGAGTGATGGGACTGTTAAAACCTCCCTCATTCCCCCTCCTGCCCCTGGCCTCTTTCCTGGCACGTCCACTCTGGCCGCTTGCCTGGCCCGTCGCCCGCCTGTCAGTGGAGTAATGAATGCGCGCTCCGGGCCCTGGGCCCCGCCCCTCTCCCCCCCAGTCGTTCATCACTGCCAGCACCGCCCACCTCTCTGCCTTCCCGCCGGGA